GATGACAGTAGTGTAATATCCTACGTTCAAGTGCCACGCCCACTCCGTCACAGGGATAAGGAGTATAGCCGTGCGTTCAAAGCACATCTGTTGCCATATGTAATAAGTTTTCAGAATAACACAATTATTCATAAAAATATATATTATATTAAAGAAAACAATCAGGAAGAATAAGGAGTATTACTGAATTACTTATTGAATGAATAATTATTCAGAATAATGTAACTATTCAAAAGAATATATAAAATTATTACATAAAGTGGGTCGACTGCTCACATTCTCACAGAGAACAAGGCTTTCACTTCCTTATCAGGTGAATGGCCAAGGTGAAAGCAGTTCATAATTGATTGCGAATGATTACTGAAGCTCAAAATACAAGAGCAGAAGGGGAAGCTCAAGAACCAACGATTTACCATGGAAACCAGCTAATTGCTCATGGGCGCTAAGTGATTTTGACACGGATCTCACTGGAGAGTCACACTCAGGCTAAAGATCTCTGCATTATTGTCAGTTTTGCAGGTCTTTACATCCTTTCCAGCTTATCCCTCAGTAGTCTTAATAACTCATGAATAGTAAAAATTTACAGCCGTCACCCAAGGGGCTTAGTAGCTCACCACAAACGACAGATGTTTTCGTCTACTGTTTATTTTTTATGATAGTCTGCGTCACCACGGGCTCCGCTTTAGCCGTAGATCACGAGCGGGTTAGATTCTGTGTTCTGTGTATGAATAGAGGTTTTTGATACTGGAGTGAAAGCAGATTCGGCTTAGCGGGCAGCAGTTCGGCTCAGTGGGAGGGGCACTTTAGCTAAATCACAACTGACCCGCAAACACGTCAAGCTGCGAACTGGTGCAGAGAACCGATTTCGTTACAGAGATTCCAGTTCTTCACAAGGTAACGTGTGCTCAACCTGCCTCAGTGACTGCTATCTGATGCCCCACTAAGATGAACTGTGCCGGAAAGAGAAGCAACGAATATTTTCACACCGCTTGCTGTAAACTTGCCTTGCCATGAATGTGTTATAAGGCCAATACGAATAAATTGTGCAGAAGATTGAAAAGAGAAGTTAAAGAACTTCTAAGAAGTGGCCTTTTTTAAGGAGTGCGCGTCGGTACATCCACCTTGTGGTCATGCACAAACTAGCGAGTAAATAGTTAGTTGACTCGATATACTGTCATTCCCACGTCAAATCAAAGGAAAATTGCAGCCTGCAGTAGTGCAATGTTGTACAATATTCAGAAATCAGGTTCCACGACCGCATTATATATGGAATGATTTTACTTTTGACCAAGTGAATTTTACTGATCGCTTTACGAATGGATTTTTCTGAGTGAATGAATAAGGGCAATGGAGTTAGTATCAGTGAAGTTCGTATGCTGCCGGATCTATCAACCACATCTCTGAGACGTGGTAGGCGTGGCTGCGTGCTCCATTAGCCTTGGATTAGAATGGATTACTCATGGATGCATCAGTTCGAGACAACTGCCATCTTGTCTTGCGTTGGACAAAGAGAGTTGTCCCTACATAAAAATTTCCCAACTAAAGCGCAGTAGCCATCATGTTCAAATGGAGTACGTAGCCACGCCTATCGCATCTCAGGAATTTAGATTATTCTGGCGTGGATGAGAACGAACGGAAGAAATGCATTCAGAACAGAATCTCTAAGCACAGGTTCTAACATTTAAAACCGACATGAGATATATGAAATTTCCTGATGCATACCTATTTTCGAACTCCTCTAAGCATCCATCGGCAGCGGTGTATCCGACTGGGCATGGATTTGGTGGCTCGCAGTATGCTGGCAGAACATTGTCGGATTTCACCTGAACACGACTTCGATTAGCACTCCCTACGATTCTCGTATGGGTTCGCAGTTCGACTTGATGGGGCATTTTGCTGCTTCGCATCAATCATTACTCGTCATCGGAGTCTTCAGTAGAGGATTGTAAACTCTCATGAAACTATGCAATAGCCCAAACTTCCCTCACTAGTGACAAGATTCTGCAGGCCTACGGGCGTGCATGTTAATTTGGGGACTATAAAAGAAGCTAGCGAAGCACCCCCCCCCTGCCCTTTGAGCCGAACACAATCTTCGTACGATTCAGAAAAGAAGCTTCTCCTGAAGGTTCCTAAGTGTGCGGAATGAAATGAATGTATGTGCGAACCTCTTGTCTCTGTTGGAAATTCTCCTCTTCGCGGAGTTTTTGTTCTCCTTCACCAGCTCCGCCTGAAACTCATTTCGTTAATGGCATGCTAATGAGAAAACTGGAACGGCAAAAAAAACCATGCCGTCTCGACTAATTTCCTCCCTAGTCTTTTTTCCACAATTCCAAATTCTTTTTTCGGAGCCATATTCCAAGCCTCGTTTTGGTGGTGGGATTGCACCCCTTCACTGATTTACCGTACTTTTTGAAAAAAAGTAGCCGTCATTAGAATACGGGAAGTGGTGGAATTGGCTAAGTTAATATTGTGCCCCTGACAAGAAAAGAATCGGAAACGAAAACGTGCAGAATGCCGGTGGTTTCCATCGGCATTCTGCATGAATAGATTCTATAAAGGGTATTTTGGTTGCATTTCTGTGCATGATATGAACATAGGAAGTGTAGAATGCCCATAAAACTGCAACTCCTTCGGTGCTAGAGTTCGTATAGTTTTGGAGTATATAGAGTTAGACTTGTAAGTACCCTCGGTGTTTCTGGCGGTCGCGGGTATGTGGCAAGAGAATCGTAATTCGCCGTGCTACTGGGCGTCGCGTGCGACGTCGCGCCCGCTAATGACGACGAATTTTATGGGTCGCGGTGTATGTACCAAAAATAGACATAGAGTGTCCTACCATTGTCCTTTGTCTAATGGACCACGATGCTCCTCGAAATGGTAATGCAACTCAAGGAAACGTCGCGCCCATTGCCGCACGCGACGAAGCGGCTTTTGACAATCCTCTTGCCCGTCCCTCGGAGGTCGCAGTCGAAGGTGCATTCGTCATTCACTGTAAGTCTTTCTACAACATGGCTCACAATTCGAAATAGGCTCCGGACTCGAAATACTTTACACGTAAGCACCTCCACCATCGATTGCAGAGACGTGAGGGATTCTTTTCAAACCTATGATGCCGCCGTAACGTCAATGCTTATTGACTGGTACACCCCATCTTTGGCTGGCTCAAATCGGTCCGCATTTATCGAAAGTGGTTTTTTCATTGCGACTATTGTCGGCTGAAATGTTTTTTCTTAACGGTGGGAACTGGCACATGTGTTGCGGGGCGATAACGACGAAAAGTTCGTTGGAAGCAGGGTAGAAAACACAACTGAATCTGGGATTTAGGGATTTCGGGCGAGAGACCAGACAAGAGCCGCGATAGAGCATGCAAACGAGCACTACAACAGACGAGAGATCGATTAGAGGCTAGGGGAGTCACCTGAGAGCCTAGTCCCTTAACATTCCTACCCGTCCCCATTTAGTGGCGAAACTTGCAGAAGGTTGTTCACAGCGGTCCATACTACCTCGGTTATCTTCCAGCTTTGCACGCTGCCTCAGAGTTTCATGTTATGCTAGAGAGTTGCCCTTAGCAACCCGTCCATGAGATAACTCGTCAGAACTGCGATTTATCTCGAGAGGATTGAGCTTAGCGCTGTTCCTTGGTGTGCCTTAGATGATATCTGATTTTTGAATAAAGCAGTTCGGACTTTCTGTGACGGCTGCTGCCGTGCGTCTTATCTCTATTTTCACGTGTAACTGGAACCATTGTCCCGGAACTTCTTTTTCCCTACCTAAATATACAGCATGATATGCATTAATTGCTGTAGGACACCACTTTTTCGTAGCGTGCTCGACAACACTGGTCGGAATGGCGCAGAATGTGAAGCACATATCCAAAATAAGGTACAGGTAGGCTACATACAACGCTTGTCTCGACTTCTCCTCATCATCATGAATAGCTCCCTCAGTAAGACATGCATCTTCACGAACAGTTTCACGGTACAACTGACAGAATGAACAATCATCCGGTTGCTTGCCCCACCAATGGTAATCAGTGAGCGTTCAGTTCAGGAAAAAAACAGCCAATGGTAGAAATGCTGCAGGTGGGCCTATTCCATCCCTCTCGAAACCGCTGCAACTGATTGACGATATGAATGTGCGTGATTCCAACATAACCTCGTCGTATCCCGCCGTTGCAGCCTTGCATCATCTTGTTTGACTACCTTTGGCCGCATTTGGTTGCCTACTCCCTTTCAGTGGTTACCGTGTCCAAAAGCAGATCTGTTGTCCTATTTGCGCTCTTCGAGCATTTTCCATGCCAGCGTTTTTGACGAGGCCATTGTGCATTTTTCGAGCCCACAGTCTTTTGAGCAAAGTTTCTTCCCCCTTTCGTTACGTCCTTTCTCCTCCTCATAACTCTCTAATGTCCTTGTTCCAGTACATTGCATGTCCTGGGTCCAGATCGCGTGTGCACTTAGCGCAGCATACATATTTAAAAGCTGACTCTCCGATAAGAACTCTACGACTGTACAAGTGACGATTTTCATGCTTTTTCGTCCTGCAGCTTCATTTTTCACTGAAAGGCGGGCCTTGAAGGCGGAGTCTGGAGGCGGAGTCACTGGAAAAAAGGAGGCGTCACTGAACCTATATTGCGCTATAGCCCCTCCCTTACAATTTTTTGCCGCGAAACTGGTACAAGTTTGTTCGCCGTGGACCACTACCGACGCCATATTTTTGACTTCCATGCCTGATCGCGGACTGTGCCTTCAAAGATAACTATCGTACATCTTGGAAAAAAATGTGAGCAAAGTTAAACCGCTGAGTAAACCCTAAGGCGAACGTAATTACCACCTGGTATACGAGAGCCATTCCGTCATTACTCAATTTTGCAAGCCATTGAGTAGTGGGTGAATAACACAACGCTGAGGATATAATGAGTCCAGTGGGACAGTTGGGGGCCCATGTGCAGTATCAAGCAAATTGTATTAACATGTTCCAGGAAGGAATCCCCGTTGGAGGTGTGACAGGACAACGATAATGGCTTATATTGACAGCTGCAATACATTCACAGTTATACGATTATGGTCTAAGCATCGGAGGTGGGAGAGGGCGGGGCAGGGGGAATCAGTGAGATAATTGAAAAGGCCAAT